CCTGTACGGTTAGTGGCATTCTTGAGGTATGTGTGTATTTGTGCGTGTCAAACATTGTTAAATTCACAGCGCGCATATCACGAGTCATCTGAACATGCAAATTCAGCCGATAAAAGAATAAATCTAAAGCAACAAAGGGTACTTTTTATATGAAACTGTCTATCAGAGTAGCTGCACAAAAGGTTGGTCTGATCACAAACTAAATGCTCTACCTAACTGTAACAAGATAGCAGTCAGACAGCGGCACAGCTGTGTGAAATGGAAATCTGCTAAGTGCGACTGGCTTCTCCACCCCATTTTTGTTTAATTATAAAAAAACACAATGTTCCCAAAATATCACTAATGAGTGTGTCCTCTTAAGCATGCTCGGCCCTAAAAACAGCTCACCCTGCACATTAATGGAGACATGTGACTCCATTAACGCAGCTAACCTGAAACGAGGCAAACGGGGCAGGGGAGGGATGCAGAGTGAAAATTCAGTTGACATGTTAGTGAGCATCACAGTGCACATTCTGCCATATACAGCTGTCAAGGCACACAAGGTGAGGTGTGAGGGTTCGCAAATATGAAAAGGTCGCATGCACAGCTCAATAATAACACAAGTATGACACTCGACACTGGATGAAATATCACACTGTCCCCCAATAAGGGGCTGTTGTGAGCCAACGAGGGTGTAAAATCCAGAGAACATATTGAAAGACAAGATTACTGCTGAAGGGATAACAGGACTGCAGACCAATCTAGAGATTGGGAGTTTTAAACTCATGGGAAGGTAACATTGGGTGGGGAAGGCGAAAAAAACAAAAATGCCGCTTGAATTCTGACGATCCTCCTGCATTGCATGACCAATACTACAGACGCAGTAACAAATTCTCTTGATCAAGACCATATTTCATATCTGCTATCCTGCCTTTTAAACAGGGAGGAGCCATATGGATGAAAAACCCTCTCTGTCATTTTTGATTGAGCGGTGTTGCATGACGTATACAGCCTGGCAGCATTTTGGTGGGTGATGTGATCAGTTGTAAGGTTGAAGTTAAAGCCACATGCAGGATGTCACAAGCTGTTTCTTAGGACAGACTGTCAAAATTCAAACACAGGATTTTCCTCCCTGTTTGAAAATGTATTAGCTCCCTCTATGTTGCAGAAGTGCTGCCAACTGTTACTCTTCACATTTGTTTACCTCCCTCTCAATCTCTGTGCACACGTGTACTGTATTTTAATACCGCAGAATTCCCAGTTAGGGAGCTCTCACTGACATTGTTTCAGTTTCTCTAATTAGATACATAACATTGCATTTATTACATAAATAGCAACCATTTATTACATATGTGCTAAACCTTTGATTTACATGCAAAATGTTGGCTCTGAGAAAGTTAGCTGATATGCACAGTTACTCACTCCTATGTCAACACCCATGCGGTCAGCTAAATGTAATTCAACTCAGGTTGCGTTTAGACTAAAATTTGAGCACAGCAGCCAGTTTAAAGCAGTGTGATGGAGTAGGCAGTAGGCAAGACTTCTGGTTTATCTGTCAAAATTTTTAAAATTTAGTCCAATTTTTGCACTAAATAAAAAAAAAAGCACACAAAAAAAATACAGTGTTTCTCTCACACTGCGTTAGTCTTATCTCATTTAGCCAGCAGGTGTGAGAAGGCTATACAGCTGAGAGCTGCAGCACTCTGTGCATTAGGCTGATTTATCTGGCTGCCCCAACAATGTACAGCTTGCCTGCATGAACCAAACTGAGGACGAGGACAGGGCAAAGCATTGATGGTGTTTATTTATAGCCGTTCTGTCATGAGAAAACCCCCAACTCACCCCACTACCCCCCACCGACAGAGGCTCAGGCTCCCACCCTCAGGGAAACCCCTAGCAACAAGGAACTCCAGCAAGCCGCCCGCCATTTATTTTTGGCGGCTGCAGACAGACCTGCAATGGTTTCAAACTCGCTGCTGCGTTTCTCTGAGAGCATGAAGCGTTGAGGGGGGTTTCATGGTTATGTGTGTGTGTGTGTGTGGGGTGAACAGAGTGGCGGAACAGAGTGGGCGCGTGCATATACTTTAGCAGAGTGTACTGCAAAAGGATGTGTGAGGAGGTGTGTGTCCGTGTGGTTTGTCTAATTACACACTGCACACTGTTACAAGTAGGCCATTAAATTCTGCCTGATCTAAGCTCGCTTAAGCCAGCAGTGGTGAGACACTGCATTGAAAAGAGGCTACAGGCCTTTCAGAAATTCATCCTCCAGCACAGAAAATAGAGACAAAAATCATGTCAGGCTGAAATGCAACACACAAATATCTCAGTAATGTCTGCAAAGTAGGCTAAATGATTAGCAGCAAGTCAAAGCCACATGCTAGATGGCACAATTATTCCCATAATTACTGACATCTACTGTTCACTTGACTCGAGCCCTTTAGGTCAGCCAGAGTCCCTATTAATGTTGCTGTACTTTCTTCATGTGGCATTTCAACAAAAAACTCAGTTAACACAAGCCTTCAAATACAAGAGGTGCATTTTTGTTCGACTAGCCCTGCTTCTCATGTTGCAGGGCGAGTTTTGATCAATGTGGCCAGGGAGGGGCGAGTGGGATTGTGCATGGAACGTGACCCGATTTCACAATCCATCTTATCAGTGCGACACATGGAGAAAAATTCATGTTGATGTTCCACACAAACAGAGTTAGAAAGTGTCTGATGGCAGGTGCGAATGAGGGGGCATCAGTCTCACGGTGGGGCAGTAAAGGTGCAGCAGGATGAATTTCTCTGACCAGAGGGCCAGAGCTAATTTCTTAGCAGCCAGTCAAGTGCCTGCCTGTCCAAGCACTTGATGAGCTGAACAGCTGCTCTGTCAGTGCAGGGTGAGACAGAGAGAAGACAGCGAGTGAAGGACCGAGAGAGGAAAAAATAAAATAACAAATAAAAAGGAAAAATAGAAGGATCCTGAACTAAGAAATAAGTTGGATAGCAAATTTTACAATAATAACAGAAGCAAATATATTCTAACATAATAATAATAATTAAAAAAAAAAACAATGCCTAATATATAGGAGGAAATCATCATTCTCTTTCCTAAATTCCCACATGTCTGCATATTATGTGTATCTGTACACATATAAAACAGTTTTGTCATTACTAATTACTTTGAACTGACAGTTGGTCACACAGATTTTGGTGATCTAGGAAGCACTTATATACACGTCCCACCTAAAATGTTTTTGGCTGAAAACAAGCAGTAGCTAGCTAGCTGTACTCAATCATTGCTATATCACTGATGTATGCATATGGTCAGATCTAGAACAGGCCTTAAATGTGGGAGGTCACCCAAGTTTAATTTTGGCTCATGTCTGTGTAACCATGACACAAATGGAGCCATCGGAGCAATAGGAGAAACACATCCGGGTATTGCATTCTCAATTTGGCATTTCTTGTCAGTGTTTGTATTTGATGCCTAAGTAACGCATTTAAAAACAAACAGCAAATAGGATTGATAACATTTAAAGAGAAGGTGAAAGACAATTAGACAGTGGTGACCAGGAAAAATGTAGCTAAAGAGAGAGACAAAGACAAGGACAGGGAAGCTGTTAATATCCTGGACTGAATACAGAGTTCCTTTATGGGTTCATTACAGGGTCATGCATCATCCAAAATTCATCTCCCTCATTATGGTGGTATAATCCTGGGGAAGGAATGGCTGGAAGGCCCGGCAGGCCAAGGTCCCGTTCCCCACAATGTTACAGTAGGACAGTCTAAGTATGGAAAAGCCACAGTCCACACGCACTGTGGCATTAAAAATATAAAAAATATTCAAAATGTCATTTTGAATATTTTTATGCGTATGTTTGTCATGGTAAGCATGCTATGCAAATATAATTATAATAAAATAGCAAATTAACTTTAAAACAAATTAACTCATAATTTGCAACTTAAACATAAAGCAAGCAAATCGTCTGTTTTTGCAAAGTCATCCCCAGCTGCAATAAAATCCCTGTGCATGTTCCTTGAATACGAAAAAACCTGCAGAAAAACTACTACTACTAAAATTCCTGCCCTTCCTATACCTCCCCATCCCATCTCTGCTTCACCTGGTTTGATCAAGATTATAACATACAATAATAGTTGTGGAGAAGAAGTTTATTTTAATCCAATTCTGCCTCATACAAGACTTTTTTTACACTGTGACACCAAAACTCACAACAGCCTCGGTAATCCTGATGCAAAAATGATTGTTCTTGTCTGAAGGTCAATCTAAACAGCAGTACCCCTAAACTACGAGGGACCTGTCACAGTCTCAGCACTCATTAAACACATCCAGCAGCGCACCCTTTTAGCAGGTGTAAAAATGTGCAGTTTGCACCAAAGAGAGCTGGTGAGAAATCTGCATCTCTGAGGACTTTTCAACAACACAAAGCAGTATGAGCTTGTGTGGATGTGCATCATCAGGTAGGGAAGGTGAAGGAGGCCAGCAAAGAAGAAATGTGAGTCATATCTTCAGCTCTCCTCCTCCTCTTGAGCTCATAAACCTGAATATGTCTGTCTACCAGGCAGACATCTTGTAGATGTAAAAAGAGCATAAGAGACTGATTTCAAGACAATGTCTTCACCATTTCAGCACTTATGCATGATAAATCATAAAAAGCAGCTAAGATATGATGTAGTTAAAATAATACTGTAAGAGATTTTTAATTACAAAGATTTTTAACCCAAAGGAACCCAGAGGAAGTCAGATCAGCAGAAACACCAGACATTCAATGAATGGCATTTTATCAGAGGACATTCAAATTCTGTAAACTGGATGTTAAACCCAATTTGTAGTACTGATTTTTACCCTTTACACCAAATGAACACTGTCTCCTTACTGGAGAGTCATCAAAATATTGGTTATTTACTAGTCATGTCAAAAAGCCCAGAAAACGTATCAAAATAAGTATTTTCTTTTTACGTTTTTTTAGTAAACTAAGTTTTGTACAATTAGATCAAGCAAAGATTTAAGCTACTTACAGTGTGAGCACATCTCCAGGGGGTAACTGGCTTCATTTCCCTGAAGAAAGAAGAAAGGCAGAACGTTCAGTTTAGGTTGTAATAAAATATCACAAAAGCACAAATATTTTAAATTATGTGAAATAACAGTAACAAGTTCACTCATATCAGTTAAATGTATTTAAAGACCCCAGACTGCAGCAGTTTCTGAGATGGCCAATAGGATCCAGTCAATCTGCACAGTCTAATTCTGAACTTCTTCTTCTTCTTTTTTTTATTAATAAGAGTATGAAAACTCTTCAGCATATGTGTACTAATTAAAAGTTAGCGCAGCACAGACATGTACAAATACTTTTCTACAAAACAGACTGCTTCCTTGTTGATCAAACAAACAATGTCACCTACGAGGAAAGACAACACACAATAAGGCCACGTGATTTTTGTTAGATTCATTTTCATACCACATTTTATCAGTGACAGTAATAGTGCGGCCAACAGGACATTATTATGCGTTTATATTTGATTTGTGTATTTAATCTAACACAAAGAATTCCAGGAATTCCAGAAAAAAAAAAGAAAAAAAAGAGATGGAAGCGTAACTGATCTTGCCAGCTCATCTTGCCAAGATGCAGAATCAAGACTGAAAATGAATGGCTTTATTGTTAAATTCAAAGTAATGGATTGTAACCATAGACACTGTAAACGATGTCCTGTAGCCTCTGTATTTGAAAAGTGAAGTCAACTCAAAATTTGCTTAAGCTTACAGTCTTTTTTTGAAGAGCAGCAGGAGGCCACAGCACTGGCAAAATCCCTTCTGGTTGTACATTAGTCCATAAACATAACATTCCTCAGCTGTTTAAAACATGAAGTTAATTTAGTAAATTACAATTAGTGCTATTAGACCCAGAGTCACACAGAATGGTTATGGGGGTTCATATGAAGGGGGTGAAATAGTTTAGAGCCTAAAGTCAGAGTTTTCAGTGTTTTCAGTGTCACAAAGAAGAGCTCCGCTTCACCTGGTCATTAGCAGCACAATTATTTTAGTGAGACAGATCCTCAGCAGAGGGAACAGGCTTTATATATTTGAACTTCTTAAAATGTGGTTCAAATATATAAAACCAAATGAAGGGGTGCAATAAAGTTACCTAAGATCACATCGCTATATACACATGTCTTCAATGCAAACTTTGTGTGTCACTGTACCAAAGGAACTTACGGATGATACAGAAAATGAATAAATATCTTCTACGTGTTTTGCATTACAGCTGAAAAGAAAAAAAAAAAGAACATTTATTACCAGAGAATAATGAAAATAGATTTGGCCAAGAAAGCCTGCGTTAACAAGTTGAGACACACTCTCGTGATACCCGTGATCTTTAACTGTTGTTTAAGATTTTGCTTACCAGATAATGCAAAGAAAGGCATTTCAAACAGTACACCAAAGGCCATGTAAAGTTTTTTGTACACAAATTGCAATCTTTACAATTCTACATTATAGCAAAAACACGACTTAGCACTGAATTTGTAATGTTTAACTGAAGCCCCAAAAAATTATTAAAAAACAAAAAACAAAAACAAAGTCATGAATCACGCACTGCATTAAATATTCAAAAGAACAATGCCATCCAGAAAATCCCGCAGTCCCTGGCTCTTCTGCATGGCAGTGTGTGGCATTGGCTGAAGCCACATGCGCATCCCATCTTATCCAACAGTGAAGTGTCGACTCAGCCCAAATATGATTTCTGGCAGAGAGAACAAATGAGGAGTCTCTGAAGCAGAGAGGTAAGGTTAATCAGTTGGGGAACATGCAGCTGACAGCTACACGGCCCACGTTGCCAAAAATGTCCTACAGTTCCATCAAAGAAGGCCAAACTCGACCTACAACGCTATGTGATCTTTCTTTTCTGATGGTACCACTCAGTCAGAATCTTTCAAATTCCATGAATAGCAGTAAAAAAATAAATAAAAATAATTCAGTGAGTGGTGGTCCATGTCCTTTCCACTAAAGTCTGACAAAAAAAGAGCAGTAGGGACACTTTCCAGGCAGACCCCACCTCGCCTGTAAAGTGGATGAGAGCAGGTGGCACCAACAGGGGGTGGAGACAAAGAGCTGCAGTAAAGTCGGACTGTTTCCATCATCTTTTTGTTTCTACAGGAAGTCAAAGAAACACTTCTTTCCTGTGAGATCTGATCCCAACTTAATAAGATTGCCAACAATATAAATGCAAATGCGGTCTCAAACAGTTGAAATTATGAATTTTTATTATGGGTAGTCTATTCAAATGCAAACTAGATCACTACATAAAAAAAAAATCTAATAATATCTGAAACAATTCAATATTCAATGCCATTTCTGATAGCCAGGACAAAAAGTACTACCACAGCACAGAGGGCTGAAATTTCTAAGTGTTAAGAGATGAACAAAACTAGGCTATATTATGACTTAACAATAAAAAGACAACACTGTGAGTGTGGGGAGGCTGGCCTGTATGGGCACTAAGGTGGTAGTATTAACCCACAACTAGTGTATCAACGCTGTATAAGGTGACCATTAGAACCATTTCATATTCAACATATTAGATTAGAATAAATTTGATTAAAAAAAGAGTAAAATAAAATACAGTAGATTCTTTTTAATTCCTATTTCAGAAAATTGTAATGTCTGAATTTGATCTTAGGTACAGAAAAAAAAGCAGTTGTATGAATGTATGTGTGATTGGGTGAATTTTTCTTTTTAAAAAAGTCCATTTACTATCTTACCATCAGGCAGGAACTGGGCAACATCTATCTCGGGACCTTGCAGTCAGTAGAGATATAACTGTGGCACCTGGCTCTAAAAACTGCAGTTGCCTTGATCTTGTGATGTTATCATCGCCTGTTTCAATGACGCAAGGATGTTTTCCAATAATCTCAGACAGAAATCTAACTACGGCGCACTGTGTGGTAACTGTCAGTGAATTCAGCACAAGACACTGACACTGGTAAATGTAATGTAAATGAACTGCCGAAAAGAATCCTACCGTTTTTGATCTTGAGGATACATAGGCATTATTTTTACATCTGACAGCAAACAGAGCAGCAAACTATGCTGAAGCATGAATGTAAATTAGATCCCACAATTGGTTGCCAGGACAAATATTAAAGTAGTACTCATATTATTAGCACTACTCATAATTTACTCACATTATTCATATTGATTAGAGAGGAAAAAAACAACAACACACAAACTAGAGCCAGTTATGTCATACACCAGGTTGTTGTTGTGCTGCTGTGTAACAGCAGACTTACCTCACAGAAGTTGAGGTATTTTAAGAGCAGTGAGGAGAAAGAGGTGACACAGGATTAGCCAGGAGAACGCCTTAGCATTTGACACCCTATCGGAGTGGAGTCAGTTATGATTAGAGGTTGACATGGTTTTTCTCTCTGGAACAAGTTGGCAATGGCTGGGTGCTGCCAGTTTAAGGGATTGAATTCCAATGCGTAGCGCATGACTCCACCATTACTGAGGTTGGGTGTCCCATTGCCTGTGTGGCTCTGTAATAGTGACAATGTGATACTTTATTGATCCTGTAGGGAAAAGTCCTTTTGTTTGCTCCCCTATATAGCGCTCACTCAGCTACAGAATAGCATAGCTTTACAGAAATGTGATGACTTGCTTAAAAATTTCAACAGCATTTGAAACTGAAGGCCTTGAGCAAATGTCTTCGAGTTCAAGGACAGGTTCTCCGTGCTTCCTCTACCTGCCATGAGACTTAACAAACAGCTATGACAAAACTAAAGATGATCCAGGTTAAACAGAACAGGTCACTTTTTTGTTCATGGCTTTTAAATCTTGTAAATCTTTTAGAGCCAAATGGACCAAAACGGATTAACAGATAACATTTTTATGTCATTTTTGACATTTAGGAAGCCTCTCTAAAACAAAACAAATAATGAAAAAAGCAGACTTTGTAATAACTACCTCAACAAAATGGTGTGCAAATGTTTGAGGAGCATACTTCTAACTACATCCCTAACAGCCACTCTCAGTTCAGTGTTAGCTATAGGGTCTCTGGAGGTAAATAGACTTACTGCAAAGAAGATTTGGTTTTGAGGATTACAGGTTTACTTACTAAGGCCTACCTCCTGGGGTCAGGAGTAACTCTTGTCATGTCTTCTGTAATAAACCACTTCGGCAGCTCTTGTTCAGCCATAAATACTCATGATGGATACCAGATGGATGAATATAAAAAAAAAAAAAATCAGAAAAGGGGAGGGTGATACGTGAAATGAAAAAGCATCTTACATACACAGACCAGAACACAGGCACAAGAGAAAGACTAGTGTTGGCTCATTTATAATGCATGATTCATTCAGAATCAATTAGGCCTCAGCACACAAAACACATTCTGTATAATGAAGAGTTTGGCATCACGGCCGGTTGAGTCGCAAAGAAATGACCGGCACAAGAATCTGGCCAATTACAGACCCACAGGGCCCAGTAATAACATCAGTGAGTGACGAATTCAATACATGGGCCTAAAGACTTGGAGGACTTTTTTCAGGCTTTGGCAAGATGTGAGAATATATTCTCATAACAAATTGAAACAATAAGAAGGTACATAGTGAGCGAGAAACTGCATTTCTAATTTATTCTAAAAGGCAGAAAACTTAGTCATATGAAGTCATAAACAGGTGAACAGTACAGCAGAGGTTCCAATGTTTTATTTACTATTGGCCGCCCTCCCTCTATAGATATAAGATCTAAAAATTTTTTTTTTTCATTGCTAAATAAAAGATGAATTTTTTGTGTGTGCACAGAGCAGAGGAGAAACTGGTGACGATAATGTTAATGGAGCTGATGACAATTTGTAACTTAAAGTGCAATAAAAGCCAGCCAAGACATTTAAAAGCAAAAAATGGACCGATGCTGCCCCCCAAAATCTATGAAATTGAGCCTTGAAAACAGAAGGTGAGGGTGGGCCACAATAAGACAGTCACAAAACTAAAAATGTATGCAGATTTCCACATAGAACCATCTGCAATAAGCCTTTGTGAGGGTTGGGATTTCAAACCTTCTGT